CGTTTATTTATTTTTGGGACAGAGAGAGACAGAGCATGAACGGGGGAGGGGCAGAGAGAGAGGGAGACACAGAATCGGAAACAGGCTCCAGGCTCCGAGCCATCAGCCCAGAGCCCGACGCGGGGCTCGAACTCACGGACTGCGAGATCGTGACCTGGCTGAAGTCGGACGCTTAACCGACTGCGCCACCCAGGCGCCCCTAACAGGTTCTTCTTAATAGCTTATCAATAATTTATGCCACTAGAGGAATCTAGTGGAAAACCTCTTAGATCATTTATTTGCTTCAGGGGAAAGAAAATTCTACTGTCAGGATTCCAGAATAACTAGGCTTTTTAAAAATGTAAGCTAAGTAGAGTGAATGGCTAAGTAGGGCGTCTTGAGAGCCAGGTGGCCTGGGTTCAGACCCCTCCTCTCTCGCTTTCCGAGCTGGTAACTGTGGGCAGAGTCCTTTCCTGATCCTCAGTTGCTTTATAAAAAGAGGACCATTCGACAGGAGTTACTTCTGTGAAACAAGCTAATGCATATAAATTGTCTAGTACAGAGCCTGACTCACAAGGGCAAATAGAAATTAGCTGTTCTGTTTAAGAATTATTTGATATATTTTCTAATGGAGGGTTTATATTTGAGAAAACTGACCATTTTCTTCTGTGTGGAAGCCTGTTTCAAAGTATTAATTTACATTATTTTTTATAGTGAGGTTTATGAAGGTGTATCAAACAGCTTATTTTTTACTGGCTTCCCTGGTGTTTACCATCTCTAAATAAATGCCTGCTTATCTGGAATGTGCCGCTTTGAGTTGCCTGCTTAGGTAGGGGCTTAATCACAAGCCAGTGCCTACAGTTTGGAGCTTCTGCCTTTGCGACTTTTGATTAGAGCTCAGATTTAAAACTAGCTTAGTTGTTTTGTTTGTTGTTTTTTTTTTTTTTTTTTCTGTTCACCATATGGGCTCTCTTATGGAGTAAAGTGATACTGCCTCTCATATCTTGTTTTGACTGCTCTATAGAGGACTTGCCTCTCCCTGAGGGCCCACCCCTGTCTCCCAGAAATCTCTCAAAGCAAACATGCCTCAAGGCTTGTATTTTAAATAATGTCACATAAATATAAGTGTATACAGGAGTTTTCTCATGACATGGTAACAAACACATACAAAAACTTAATGGTATAATTTTTGTTGCATTGTCAAGAACTTTCATTTTCAAGTGTCAGAAACTTACTCGAATGAGTTTAAAAGAATAATATACTGGGTCATGTAACTAGGAATTTTTGGAGGTTATGTTTTAGATTTTTAGACCTACCAAGATCTAGCAATTCAGATGTTTTTGGGAATGTCTCTCTGACCTTTGCCTCTATTTTCCTGTGGGTTGGCTTTGATTTGGGGCAGTCCTGAGTGGTGGTGAAGATAGCTATCAGAGCCTTAAGCCTTGTGTTTATTGTCTTTAAGGTAATCCCAGAGGAATTAGCCCTCATCTCTCAGTTCTTCCAGCAGAATTCCAGGGATTAATGTTTGGCCTGTTTTGAGTCACATGCCCGTGCTTCAGTCCATCATTTTGGTTAGAGAATTGGGAGTGATCTGATTGGCCAGGCCTGAATGATGCCCCTGTAACTTCAAAAGAGTTGGCCTCTCTTGAAGTAGTGGAACAAGAATGTAAAAGGATGGTTAATGAATGAAAAGGTGGACTTCTGTTACCAGAAGGGATGCTGTGCAGGCCAAAACATTTGAATCTTTCTGTAATATTTTCCATGTCATCCAAAGCCAATTTACATGTGCCTTGTAGCCTCTGCTTTAAGTCAGACCATTCTGCAGACCCTGAATAGTTGGGAAGAATCTACTAAGTTTTTTCTTCGTATGGCAACAAGTAGGTTGAAATTTAATTTTTTGTTAGTGTAGGCTCTGTTGACAGGTGGTTTCTTGATAGAATTTCAATTGAGAATATTTTTTGGATGCTTTTTTTTTTTCTTGTTTTCTCCTCTATTTTTTTTCCTATTATTTGAAAAGAGTACAAAAATTTTTGTATGTACTACCTAAAATCAAATCAGGACACCTTATTAAAAATTATCCAGGGCGCCTGGGTGGCTCAGTCAGTGGAGCGTCTGACTCTTGATTTCGACTCAGGTCATGATCCCTGAGTTCCTGATTTGAGCCCCACATCAGGCTCTGTGCTGACAGCGTGGGGCCTGCTCGGAATTCTCTCTCCCTCTGCCTCTGCCCTTCCCCCACTCTTATTCTCTCTCTCTCTCTCTCAAAATAAATAAACTTAAAAAAAAAATTAGATTATCCCTGTGGAGGGAACTGATGACTTAGAATTCAGATTTTCAACTAAAAGAGAAAATGAGATTTAAAAATGTAAGGATTTTCCAGGTGGACAGACTAAAACTGAATCCATACTTTGGAGGCACAGTGCTTCCAAAACAGTGAATTGCCTCTTAGAGGATGCTAGATTATAACTCATGGTCCAAGAGAATTGTAGACCCAGTATAATTGCGTGTTCAAGTCCATAATGTTCACTTGCCATTGCAGACTTTTATTTTTGGAAAAACCTTTGAAAAGTGCTGTTGGTTCACTAAGACGTGTTTTGAGAAATCTTTGCCATCATTTAGCTTCAAACCCTCCTGTGCATTGATTCTGTAAGTTTGGATACTTCATTTAAAAATGATTAATAATGAACTTCTTTAGTTACTGTAATAAATGTATTGTCAAATGAAAAACGGCAATTTAATGAGGATTTCTTAGAGGGAATCTATATGATTTTATTTAAGGTAATGGTTGTCTGTAACCAGTTTTTTCTAGAACTTGAGAACACGTACAAATATCTGTAAATGTTTTCCGGCCATTGTCGCCCTTATTGTTGCAGCATACAAGGTAATTCTGTATGTGTATCACTCGTGAGTAAACATATATTGCCAGCTCCAGTACTTAGTGTCACGAAAAAAGCCATGTAAGATTTAAGTATATGGTAAGCTTATGTTAGACGCGATCTCTTAGCTGTTCCAGGTTATCGTCTCCCCCCAGAATTAGGACGAGACAGATGCGTTGTGGCTCTTCTCCTGATTGCTCTGGATTATTTTTAAATGAAATAAAAACCTGGTGTTACATGGTTTCTTTATTTAGGCTCGATTTTACTCCCCGGCTACCATATTTATCGATGAGATCGATTCCATTTGTAGTCGCAGAGGGACTTCAGAAGAGCACGAGGCAAGCAGGAGGGTGAAAGCAGAGCTGCTGGTTCAGATGGATGGTATGTGTGCGTCTGCGCACGGACTGAGCTCTACTCCTGGTGCTAAGCCACACGCTCCAGACGACCGGAGAGGGCTGGCAGTAGGTCCTGGAGGTTGACGGTATACTGGGTACACTGACTGTGGGGACATGCCAGAAATAACGGCGATTCACAGAGCCTCGTGGGATATGCTCGGATTTCTTATTGTTAGCAATGAAATTGAAAGAAATGCAAATAACTTTGCCTCAGGGATACAGATGCTTTGAAAAATTGTAGAAATTGGTATACAGTTAAGCTGAGCTGGTCTTTTGATTAAATCTATTTTGAGGTGTTTTTTTTTTTTCTTTTTTTGCACACTAAAACTTAGTTTTCTTGGGCCCCAAATTCATCTATGTACCAATTAGCTTAAGAAGTTGTAGGGAGGCTTAACAATTACACTACCTTGTAATTTAGTACCAAATATGAGATGATCTTTAAGTAGTTGAGCTTTAGTTTGTATACTGACTTAGTGTCTTTTTACATTCTCCTCACCCTTTTTCGTAGGTGTTGGGGGTGCTTCTGAAAATGATGACCCTTCTAAGATGGTTATGGTTCTGGCAGCTACTAACTTTCCCTGGGATATTGATGAGGCATTAAGACGACGTCTTGAGAAAAGAATCTATATTCCATTACCATCAGGTATCTTCATTTGAATCTTGTCAGAAAGCTCATGTTAACTGTTAGGTAGTTTTGCTTACAGATTTTAAAATCTGGTATTAATTGACTTTCCTTTAAGGAGACACTTGTAGGATGTCTTTGCTTGTATTAATTGGTTTGGCTCTATCTAGAACCTGAAAGCCTCGATGCCGGGAAATTTTAAATAGCGAGGAGTGTCTCTTAAATTTTTAAGCAAATGAGCTCTAAGAATTGGAAAACCAACTTCTTATACAAAGTAGACTTGATTATGTTTATGTTGAAGGCTTGACATTTAAAAATTTGTTTCCATCATTAGCAAAAGGCAGGGAGGAGCTGTTACGAATAAGTCTACGTGAGCTGGAATTGGCTGATGATGTTGACCTTGCAAGTATAGCAGAAAATATGGAAGGTTATTCGGGTGCGGACATTACCAACGTGTGCAGGTATGAATTATTTTCAAAGCATAGGTTTTTGTGGGTATTAACTTCTGTTAGGAAGCTTTTACGCCGAATAATAAGGTAGGTGAAGAATAAAGACCTGTATTAGTTTCTAGTCAGAGACACAAGTTTTGGTATTAAGTTCGTGGTAAGGTGCTGGTAAGAATTTGAGTGTTTTGCATGTCACTGAACAGTGTGGTGCATTTGAAAACGACAAGTTTGAGAATTTGGTATTAGAACAACTGGTGTAATATAGAAAATCAGTAATTCTCGGGTTAAAAAAATGTTGCTGTGCCTTTTGCATATACTTTTTTGTAAGAAATAGAACTGTGGAACTGATTGGGCATACTCAAGGAGAGTACGATCTCACTTTCAGGGCAAGTGTCCCGAATATGATAGGAACAGCAGTGAAAAAGAAACAAATCTCTAATCCAGTTGATTCAAGTAGGTTTTGTCCTGATCTAAGTATTAGTTCATATGTTTATCAGCAAGGTACTCATTGTAAAGTAAGCTCCCCACGCAGGTTGTCGTGAGGATTAGTGAAAACTAATGTGTGTCTGTGAAGCAGCTGTGTTTTATTTTACAGTGTACTTAAAAGGAAAAAATAAATATCTATATATACTTGTTTTTAATGTTTATTAAGGTTATTTACTTTTGAGAGAGAGAGCGTGTGAGAGGTCGGTAGGGGAGGGGCAGAGAGAGAGGAAGACGGAATCCCCAGCAGGCCCCTTGGCATAAATGGTGGCTGTTATCCAAGGTGAAACTTGGTGAAAGCAGAGGTCCTTAAATCTGAAGTTTCTTCTTTAAAAACAAAACCATAAAAGCCCCAAAAACAAACAAAACTAATACAGAAAGGAAAAGAGAAACACCTTGATTTGATCATTTAGTTTTTCTTACACAGGTAGAAAATATTTTTCAGCTAACAGGTTCTCTTCTCTGATGTTTATTTTATCGGCCACTTAGAAAGAAATTCAGTTGCTAGCGTCATTGTTAATACCCTTTTACTTTTCCTCGGGCTTCCTGCTCAGTATCATTCATTTAAACTAATATCCTTCTTTTCATCTTGGAAGATTTAACTGCTAAAAAACAACTCAGAACAAGCCTCGTATCTGATACAAGATTCTGTGCAATACTACATATGTCTAGTGTGGATAATAACAGAGTAGTAACACATACTGAAAAAGTTTTCTTTCCCCAGGTTTATATTCAATCAAAATAACACTGTGTGTGTTTTAATTTAAAAACTAGGGATGCATCCTTGATGGCAATGAGAAGGCGTATTGAAGGTTTGACCCCAGAAGAAATCAGAAATCTTTCAAAAGAGGAAATGCACATGCCTACAACTATGGAGGATTTTGAAATGGCTTTAAAAAAAGTTTCTAAGTCAGTTTCTGCTGCAGATATCGAAAGATACGAGAAATGGATATTTGAGTTTGGATCATGCTAAATTCTCACATGTAAACTGTGAGAAACCTGCCTTAAGTGTTTGAATAATAATTAAATGTAGTATTTCATTGCACCGAGTGCTATATTTTTTTAAACTTTCATAATGGTAAGATTTTAAAAACGATTCTGAATAAAGGCAGTTTTTTAAAGCTGCAAGCAAATTTGTTTTATTTTAGTATTACCCCATTTCTCTTTCACTGAGCACGTATGTTACAGCACAAATGTGATTCTTAGCTTGGAAAGCGTCTTTCTACGCACTTCTGTGCACAGCGTCTTCTCTTCCCCTGTGCGTCTGCCGTTCCTTCTAAGGAGTAAGACTGGCTGTAGCACCCTGGGTGTCAGTGGATAACTGGAAATTCCCTACCATTTTTACACAAGTGGCCAGTGACGCATGAACCACGCCTAGTGCGCCTTCCTGCTAGCCGTTCCAGTGGTTTCCCTCCTCTTCCTGGGAGAGCTTTAAAGCCCCTTCATTTTACAATGCACTTAAAGGGAAAAAAATATGTATCTATATATACTTGCTTTAATGTATTTTTAAAATTTTTTATTTATTTTTGATAGAGACAGAGCACAAGTTGGGGAGGGGCAGAGAGAGAAGGAGACACAGAACCTGAAGCAAGCTCCAGGCTCTGCGCTGTCAGCACAGAGCCCAGTGCGGGGCCCGAACTCACAAACCATGAGATCATGACCTGAGCCGAAGTCAGACGCCCAACTGACCGAGCCACCCAGGTGCCCCTTGCTTTTAATGTTTTTAAGTTTATTTACTTTTGAGAGAGACAGTGTGTGAGAGGGGGGTAGGGTAGGGGCAGAGAGAGAGGAAAACAGAATCCCCAGCAGGCTCCGCACTGTCACTGCAGGGCCCGACACAAGGCTCCATCCCACAAACCGTGAGATCATGACCTGAGCAGAAATCAAGAGTTGGACGCTTAACCACCTGAGCCACCCAGGTGCCCCGTGTACACTCTTGCTTGACTTTATTCTGCCTACCTATGAGCTGCCCTGTAGGCAAGTAAATTCTCGTAAGCTTACGCTGCTCACAGTACCCTAATAAATGACTCATTAACCCATTCACTCATGGACACTGTGCATAATTAAAATAACAGTTAATGGGGGCACTTGGGTGGCTCAGTGGGTTAAAGTCTGACTCTTGGTTTTGGCTCAGGCCATGATGTCGCAGTTGGCAGGACTGAGCCCCGAGCTGGGCTCTGTGTTGGTGGCACGGAGCCTGCTTGGGATTGTCTCTCTCCCTCCCTCTCTCTCTCTCTTTCAAAATAAACACTTTTTTTTTTTTAAAGTAACAGTTAATGGTGCAACTATAAGTTAATAAATGAAACAAAAATTAATGGCATACAATCTTACCTAATATACTCATTTAAGATTACTTTTTTAAAATGTTTGTTTATTTTGAGAGAGACAGACAGACAGAAGGGGATGGGCAGAGAGAGAGAGAATCCCAAGCAGGCTCCTAGCTGCCAGTGCAGAGCCGGATGCAGGGCTTGAACTCACGAACCGTGAGATCGTGACCTGAGCCAAAATCAGGAGTGGGACACAAAACCAACTGAGCCACCCAGACACCCCAAGGATTACTCTGTAAAAGACAACTTACTGTATCATCTCAACCATAGAAAACAGAGCCTCAAAGAGACTGAGTGCTGCGGTGCCTGGGTGGATCATTCGGTTAGGGGTCCGACTTCAGCTCAGGTCATGATCTCGCAGTTTGTGAGTTCAAGCCCTGCATCGGGCTCTGTGCTGACAGCTCAGAGCCTGGAGCCTGCTTCGGATTCTGTGTCTCCCTCTCTCTCTCTGCCCCTTCCCCGCTTGTGCTTTCTCTCTCTCTCAAAAATAAATAAATAAAAAAAAAAGACTGTCACACCATGGTCCCAGGTGTCACTGGTAAGGAGGCAAGGCAGGAGAGGGCTCTGCTAACTGCAAAGCCTACACTCTCCAATTGGCCACATAGCCTCCTACATTGTTCTCCTTAACTAGAGTCTATAAGCATCATGCTTAATGGATGCACTGGAGGTAGAGCTGGTAATTTCTAGCAACTCTGAGGAAGGACATAAAGAGTTACTATAAGCCGGGTGACTTTAGGATCAAACTAAATTTAAATTGCATGCTATCACTTATTCTTCTGTAACATGGAGAAAGTGTATTTCACAGGGCTGTTAGTCCTTATTAAAACCAGCTAGGCAAAAATGAAACCTCACTCCTTCACTCTGCCGCCTGTCATCTTTCCCCCACACATACGTATCTATTCAGCCTAAATCTAAGGTGGTTTTATTTTTTACCCCCTCTTCCCTAAGGTGGTTTTAAAAGCCAGTCACTACTTTCTTGAACAAAGTGTTTAAAATCATGGGTTGCAATAAAAGATAATAAAACACAATAGAAAACATCGAGCACATGGAGTAAAGGTATTATATATATCCTAGACATTATAAAATAGATGTCAACATGAGAGAAGTTTTTTTAAAAAGAGAACAAACACTGTTGAAGGGTAAACGGCACTAAGGACGACAAGAGCAAGGGCTCTAATTCCAGGATACTGATGGACTCATTAATTGACTTGAGCCTTGGTCTCAGCCAGTGTGTGAAAGGAGCTCTTACAAAGAAGTAATTCTTGCCTGGGAGGTGTTTTTATACCAAAACTCTATACTGTTTTCCTCAAAAAAAGTTTATTTTAGAGAACATGTCACTACGATTTTTAAATCCTTTGCATTCAAGGTTTAAGTAGTCTTGGTACAGGATACAGTCAAATCATGATACACTTCAGTGATTTTATACTGAGCCACATACTTAATATAAAGGCACATTTTACTGAATAAAAAAATAAGTGTTAAATCTTGAGCTTTTAAATTAGAATTTCATAAAGTGCTTTTCAGAAAGTCTCATATATTATAGTAATTAAGTGGATATAATTTCCTTTACAAAGGCACCTTGAAAAGTATTGGCACATGGCATTTCGTCTTGCTCCCTTTGTTTTTTTTTTGTAATTTGGAAGTTTCTTCACGTCTTCTCTTCTGCTTCATTTAGGTTTTTCTTAACAGTTCATCATCTGAATAGCCGGCCCTGTTATAGACTAAGGTGAACTTTAACTTGTCACTTTAAAGGTCAAGTTTTAGGCAGTTTTAGGAGTTTAGCAATTTCCCTGGTGTATAAACTGATTCTTAATGATTTAAAGAAAATTCTATTCAAGTGGCAAATTTAGAGCCAAAAGACTAATTCAGAGTCCATGATTTGATTTAAACACATGTTTTATCTTCAGGGTTTTTTGCTCTTTTCTCAGTAGCATCTGGAAATAAGTTGATAGCTGTCACAGGTATAACATTTGCTTTATCCAATTGAAGAATTCCTCTGAAATATAAAAATCAAAATTAAACATTTCCCCGTCTACAGTTTGGTAGTAAGAAAGGCCTACTTTAAGGTTATAATGAAATATATACCCTGGGGTTAAGTGCTTTTGCTTCATTTTACTTAGTTTATAATAGTAGGACAAGCTCTGAGTCCAAAGTTTGCTTTAACCAAGCTGAGCGAACAGAAGGTGTAAGAGGAAGTTCCTTACTTACACTGTAAGTAGGGAAAGGACTGGGTAAGTACAGATCTCCAAGGCAGACAGAAGCCCAGATTTGCACAAGTTGGTCTAAAAGACCAGGCCCAAGCAGCTTTCTAACTGGTACTCACCACTGGGATGCAACCTTAGATAGATAGATAGATAGATAGATAGATAGATAGATAGATATTTTTTAATGTTTATTTGTTTTTGAAGGAGAGAGAGAGAGAGACAGAGTGTGAGTGGGGGAGGGGCAGAGAGAGAGGGAGACATAGAATCCGAAGCAGGCTCCAGGCTCCGAGGCGTCAGCACAGAGCCCGACGCAGGGCTTGAACTCACAAACTGCAAGATCATGACCTGAGCTGAAGTCGGACGCTCAACCGACTGAGCCACCCAGACGCCCTGCAACCTTAGATATTTAGACAGCATTTTCCCTTTTTTCCCCAAAGTACCTGACCAGGGAGGAGATCTCTGGATTGTATCCAAGACCTCTTTTACAAGTTCAGTGTTATCCTAATTGAGATGGCAACTGAAGTTAGTTATTTATGGAACTCATCAAGCTGATTCTAAAAGTTCATGAGGGAGAAACTGCAAGAACAGTTGTAACAATTTTTTTAAAAAGAACAATGGGGGGAAGAGACGGTTGCTGGTTTTATTTTTTATATTTAAAAAAAAAAATTTTTTTTAACATTTATTTATTCTTGAGACAGAGAGAGACAGAGCATGAACGGGGGAGGGGCAGAGAGAGAGGGAGACACAGAATCGGAAGCAGGCTCCAGGCTCTGAGCCATCAGCCCAGAGCCTGACGTGGGGCTCGAACTCACAGACCGCGAGATCGTGACCCGGGCTGAAGTCGGACGCTCAACTGACTGATCCACCCAGGCGCCCCTGTTGCTGGTTTTATTAATGCAGTATAGGAATCAGAACTCTGCCGCTGGCACAGTGCTTGGCAAGCAGGAGAAATAAGGCTAATATGTGCAGGAATTTAGTTCATAATAAGGTAACATTCCGATTCAGTGGGAAAATTATAGCTGGAACAGTAGCCTCTCTGGAAAACAAAAAATCAGAATTCTGGCCTCATCTATACACAAGTGCTGGTAAAAAGAGTTTGAAGATGACACTTAAATAATTTTAAGAAGGGAAAAGGTCTACTTAAGAAAAATTTAAAACCCTTAAAAGCCACAAAGGACTTTGCTCTAACCCCAAACTTAAACTTTTTTCTTTTTCTTTTTTTTCTAAGGAGGCTTTACACCCAGGGCAGAGCCCGATCGGGCTTCAGCTCACGACCCCGAGATTAAGACCTGAGCTGAGATCAAGAATCAGACACTTAACTGATTGAGCCACCCAGGAGCCCCCAAATTTAAAATTCTTGTATGATACTAGAACTGAGAGCAAAAGACAAATTGCAGTCTGGGATTAAAAAAAAAAAAAATGGAAAAGCTACTATGTGTGTATAACAAACAAAGGAGCTCCAATATACTAATGATTACAAAAGGCAACACAACTGAAAAATGGACAAAGGCTATGAACAGGCATGTCACAGGAGAAAGAGCCAGCCAGCTGTCACAGAGATGCTAGACTCAGCCAGACCTGGGCTCGCAAGGATGCTAGTAAGAAGAAAATGCGAATTAATTAAAATGAGATTATATTTTTGTCCCCAGTGGCAAAAACAAAACATTGCTGTCAAGTGTTGGCAAGATATTAAATACATACATTCTTTGACCCAGTAAATTCACTTTGAGGAATCTATTCTACATTCAATACACACGTGCAAAGAGATATATGTATATTTACATTTAAGATGTACACTAGGGCGTTGCTGGAAATAACATGAACTTGGAAGTTCCTGGAGGGTCTAGTGGAGGAATGGTTAAGTTATGGCATATCCACACTGTAAAACACTGTGCAGCCATAAGGAGAATCAAGAAGCATATCTAAGTGTGGACAGGAAAAGACCTTAAGCCCACGTTCCCAGATGCAAAGGGAATGCTGGGGCGGCACTGCAGACTATTACAAAGTCTCACGATTTCATTTTGAGGGAGTTCACAGTTCCAACATTAGATTGTACTACACTGTCCTTTCAATGCCGTCAGATCTTTGCCCAGTTGGACTTTGGCAGTTATTATGATAAAAAACAAATACTGTACAAAAGCTAGTGTTGAACAGGAAATAGGGTGGCAGTGTCCAATCTAAGAGTTTTGTGCAGCGTCCTATAGGCGCATACATCCCATTTGAAAACGTAAGTTAAGAATTACATACATGCACATGTGTGTATGTAAATTAAGAATTAAATAAAAAATTTTAGAGTTTTCTTCTGGCCTAGATAGGGGCACCGGGAAAAGTTACTGGCACACTAAGAGTGCTATGTAATAAGAAAGTTTAGGAACCTCTGTCTAGGATAATAAACAATTATAATTACCTTAGCATATGTTTACATCAATACACAGAATTTGGATAAAAGATGCACACCCTAAAAGTTAACAGTGATTCCCCCTAGTTACAAGAATTAAAGAACAGGGAAAAGCAGAGGTATTTTAACTGCTCTCTGTATTTCTGCATTGATGAAATCTTTTACTACTAGAAACTACCTTAGTACAACTGCCATTGATAAAAAGTCCACTTCAGGGGTGCCTGGGCGGCTCAGTCAGTTGAGTGTCTCCTTGGTTTTGGCTCAGGAAATGATCTCACATTGGTGAGTTCGAGCCCCATGTCAGGCTCTGTGATGACAGTGCGGAGTGTGCTTGGGATTCTCTCTCTCCAAATAAATAAACTTTAAAAAAAACCCAGTATACTGCAAATCTGGTTTTTAATTTACATTTTGTCTTTCCCACAGAGAAGCCCATAACAAAACATTTGGTAAAAGAACAATAAAAAAAAACCGTGCAACACAGTTTTCTATGCAGGTTTGCACAATAAAATTTGAAAAAAGTCCTGAGGTTCCTGGCAGTCAAGGAAATAGAAAGAAACCACTAAGTTCCAGAATTTTCAGTTTTAGAAAGAAATGGGAAATGTGAATTCTTCAGGGGAAACCAAACGAAAAGGTAGGAGGGGTATAATATTTCTTTACTCTGCAGGCACTTTGCTTGCAATATGGCCTTTTAGCAGCCCTTTTAAGGGAGGCATTAGTTCAATGTTACACATAAAGAAATGGTAGCTTTGAAGACCTTAACGACAAGCAAGTGGAGAAGTGAATGTTTAAATTGGGTCTTTTTTTCTGTAAATCCTATGGGCTTTCCAACATAGTACAATATAATTTAAGCCAAAAATTGTGGTCATCTCTAGTCTACTGAGATTTACTTCTACTAAGACGACTAAAATGACTATTTAACTTATTTTTCTTTCTTTCTTTTTTTTAAGTAAACTCTCCCCCCCAACGTGGGGCTCCAATTCACCTCAAAATCAAGAGTTGCATGCTCCAACCGACTGAGCCAGCCAGGAGACCCTGACTGTTTAACTTGTAAAACTGCTAACAACAAATCCACTTTTAAATTTATAAAATAATTTCTTAAGGTTAAAAAAATCAAGCTGTACAGAAAGGGAAGAAGTGAAAGTCAGTCTCTCTGCCCCTGCTCTCATTCCCACTCACTAGAGATCACTTTGTCATCCCAGAAATGTTCTTTGCACTTATATACATACAAACATAATACTTCTGTTTTACCCAAATGAAATCATACTGTTACGCAATGTTTTTCCCCACCTAATAGATTTTGGACTTTTCGCATCTCAGCTGCACAGAATCCCATTGCGCGCGTAAACCAGTAGTTAGTTTAGCCCCCGCAGGTAAACGGCTCGGAGCTTTCCTCTTCTGCTTGCTGTTACAAGCAATGCCGCACCAAATACCTTGCTAGTCTTCTAAAATCCACATCGTTTTAGATTGATACTTTGAGGTAGAAAGCACATAGTGAGGCCCGCGTTTCATTTGTTCACCGAACACTGCATTTCCCGTTAGGATGCAGGCTTCCTTTCTCTCCCAGACTAAGTCCTTAGGGAGCAGCTGTCTTATTCACGTCTGAATCCCCAAGACCAGTGTCTTGTTCACAACAGATATCCAATAAGCGTCTTAATTTTGCTACAGTTGGAAGACGAGCTAAAAAAAGCCGACATTATTTTCCCTCCCACCTGTCTTATAGCCATCCATATATTTATATTTTCTACTTTAAAAAACAGTAAGTAATACAACTTGCTTTTTAATTAGTAAAAATACTAATGTTGTTTCAAAATAAGAAATACTTACTTGTATTCACAAACTGGGAAAAGCACCTTTAAGATGGTTATTACCACAGCTGCTCCTAGAATTCCAACCACCATGACGTTCAGAAACATAAAAAACACTGGAAAAACACTGCTCCAGAATCTACACAGATCTTTTCTGAACTTCTCCATCCACTGACACATCACCTAAAAAAGAAGTTTTGATTAGATAAGCCAAGTATCATCTGATCTCTATGAAACTTTATTTATTTATTTATTTTTATTTTTATTTTTTTCAACGTTTTTTATTTTTATTTTTGGGACAGAGAGAGGCAGAGCATGAACAGGGGAGGGGCAGAGAGAGAGGGAGACACAGAATCGGAGACAGGCTCCAGGCTCCGAGCCACCAGCCCAGAGCCTGACGTGGGGCTCGAACTCACGGACCGCGAGATCGTGACCTGGCTGAAGTCGGACGCTTAACCGACTGCGCCACCCAGGCGCCCCTCTATGAAACTTTAAAAATTATGTTCCAGTTTAGGGTGATGATAAAATTCTGTATTTTGATTGTGATGCTGGTTATATGGACATCTACCTTTATCAAAACTTATTTAACTGTATGTTTTATTTATTTATTTATTTATTTTTTAATAAATTTTTTTTAACATTTATTTATTTTTGAGACAGAGAGACAGAGCATGAATGGGGGAGGGTCAGAGAGAGAGAGGGAGACACAGAATCTGAAACAGGTTCCAGGCTCTGAGCTGTCAGCACAGAGCCCGATGCGGGGCTCGAACTCACGGACCGCGAGATCATGACCTGAGCTGAAGTCGGACGCTCAACCGACTGAGCCACCCAGGCGCCCCTTAACTGTATGTTTTAAATGTGTGCATTTTATTTTAAAATGTATCTTGATAAAGTTGTTTACAGTTTTTAAAATTATGTTCTAGTAATACGGCACAGGAATGTTATTTTATTATTTTTTATGATTGTTTATACTATTGTATATAAATTCAGTGTAAGTAATTGCTAAATGGTAAGAGGTTTGGTTAGTCTATGCAAAACAGACCAGAGGCAATGATGTGTTCCTAATACTTGGAGGACAAGAGCAGGAAGAAAGACAAACATGTCAGTAGTTTTTGGCCCACGTGGGGAGTACACCGTGCACAAAACCACAGTGACTCTGCTTAGAGTCAGAGTCGACACCAACGTGCGCATGGATGGTGTGGGCTGCCTCACTCTGAGGAAGGCAGGTACACAGGGTCAGGGTGCTGGCATGCGGGCAGCAAAAAGTGACCTGACTTTCCCAGCAACCCCAAATAAGCAATCTCAACCTTCAGCGGAAACTTCAAAGAAGTCTCTGGAATCCTTTGAGACTAACAACAGACCTTGCTCACTTAAGTAGAAATTATTTTGACTAAGACACCTAGCTCACACATCTGGAGAAGTCCAGATACTCGGTCTGAACCGTGCGTACATTCCCAGGCAGTTGTATAATGTCATCGGTAATACAGGAATACTTAATAGGTACAAATACACTCTTGTGTTTGTACCCAGTTTATCTAATCTTGGTTAAAGACTGCATGGTTCTACAGATTAAAGGAGGTGCCCCATTGTACAGATACAGTGGGGTTAGAGAGACCAGGAACTTGTCCAAGATCACACAACTCGTCAGCAGCAGAACCAAGATTCAGACCTATGCCACCTGACTCCTGGAGGACACTCTGAACCAAGTGTGTTCGGTCACCATTCAAGATCCTGAGGGCACCACGTGTGTGCGTGCGTACGTGCGCGTGAGGTGGCAGTCACAGAATAAATGAGAATAGGGGAATGACTCTGGATGTGAAAACTCCCCCCCAAAGTGAAATCCAATGACTTCATAATCATGTAACTATATTGTTAAATGAAACTTAAAACAGGAATACCAAAAAATAAAATAACCATGAGCCCATTATTAACAATGTTTCATACTTCCAATCCTCATGGTTTCCACCTCCTTTGTAAGGCTATCTTCTTCCAAAAATGCTTGTAGGGGCGCCTGGGTGGCTCAGTCGGTTAAGCGTCCGACTTCAGCTCAGGTCACGATCTCGCGGTCCATGAGTTTGAGCCCCGCGTCGGGCTCTGGGCTGACAGCTCAGAGCCTGGAGCCTGTTTCCGATTCTGTGTCTCCCTCTCTCTCTGCCCCTCCCCCGTTCATGCTCTGTCTCTCTGTCTCAAAAATAAATAAACGTTGAAAAAAAAAATGCTTGTAATATAAAGAGAACCCCAAATACCTACCTTATACGTAGATGGAGGCTCTGCCCTGAGAGGAGTTTCAGGTAACTTGCCCGGTAAAGCATCTTCATCTACGGTGGTTTCCACATTCCTGATAAGATACTGGCTGGTGGTCTGCAATGAACTAACACTTTCTACTGAGGAGGAAGAGCCAAGTTACCAAAACGCTAGGTGCATGCTGGTGTCTCTCCTAATAGTTCTAACATTACTATTTCAAAAATATGTAGGACACTAAGAGTATGTATTTTGCCTTGGGAGAAAAAAAAATGACACTTGAATGTTCAGATTTAAATGCTGCACAGGAGCCATAAACTAAAACAGTTACAAAGAGCTATGCTAGTTACGATTCTATTACGCAGAAGGTCAAATCTCCAAAAAGTTCCATGTTTCAATGGGAAGAATGAATACTTCTTTCTCTAAATGAACCTAAACAGTATTCTTTTTTTAAAAAATGTTTATTTATTTTGAGAGAGAGAGAGAGAGTGAGCACACAAGTGGAAGAGGGACAGAGAGAGAGAGAGGGAGAGAGAATCCCAAGCAGGCTCCATGCTGTCAATGCAGAGGTCAACATGGTGTTCGAACTCACAAACTGTGAGATCATGACCTGAGCCAAAACCAAGAGTCGGATGCTTAACCAACTGAGCCACCCAGGTGCCCCATAACCAATTTTCTTATTGTGTATTTTATGATGACTGCCCAGAGTAAGAGTAGATAATTACCACAAAGTGTCGCTAAGCAGTCATCACTGATCACTTTTTTTTTTCATCACTTTCTATTAAGACCCAAAATAGATTCCAACGTTTTTAAAGGGACATAAAAGTAATAGGTGTTATAAAACATTTCTGAAAGAAGCCTATTTCCAAACATATTAACTACAATTCAAAAGCTACCCACTAAAAAATGAATTTCCTTAATGCTTTAAGTAACAGTCTTTTAAAGTACCTTTTTTGGAGAGGTTAGGAAGGGTAAATAAAATGTCACTGTCTCGGGAAAGAGAATACAGCATGCTTTCCTCCAAAGGTAGGATATAGCTTGAATGTCTGAGTATTCCCTGGTTCTTAACTAAAATATCAATTTCAGTAACATCCTTTTGTTGAGCCTATGAAAGAAAACATAAACAGTTACTCTTCATTTTAAATAATGGCACAACCCCGTAAGCATCTAAAGCTAACTTTTCCTCCTTGATCTCTTTAACTAAAAAGCTTACCCTGTTCACAATCCCTCTGTATTCCCCTCACTTTCAGGCATTTAATTAGCAGCTTTAATCTGAGTGAGCACTCAGAATTACAACCTTGCTCCCCATTGTGTTTCATTTACTTAGACTTAGCCAGAGGAAAAGGCAGCAGAGCCATGAACCAAATTCAATCTTTTCATTTACCTTTCTGTTTACTAATGTTTATAATATCTTAAAGTGACATAAATATGTACAAATATGTTCAGTCTGTTAAAAAAATTAATACTTCAGATGCTGAACAAATGCTAAACCAAGTAAAAGAAACTTCTAAACGATTGGCTACAGGCAACATTAGGGTACCATTCTTCCTTCTCAAGTCAGATATAAGTAATAAAGTAATGGAACACAGGTATAATACCTAGCACAAATCTTTACAATTTAATTCCCAATTAAGAATCGGACTGTCTTACTTGTTTTCCATCGATCTCTACTACCTCTTCTTGAATGACAATTAGTTGCAAACTGGAACCAGACGTCATAGGCCACTCATGAACTAAAATCCTTACACTGACAATTCCAAAATATTCTTTTTCCTCCAAATTTTCCAGCTTTTCATTCTTCACTATATAAAAAAAAGTAGTCACAGCTTTGAACAAAAATGCCACCAAACCTGTTACTGAATTTGATTATCTTGATGACATTTACGGGGAACAGGACAGTTGGATAACCGTTTCTTTGCCTTTCTTCATCTCCGACTTCACTGATGTTATAGAATTTATGAAAACAAAGACAACTTGGCAAATCCTCACCATGTTTACAGTCATTGGAAAAGGGAAAAGTGCTTGGTGGTCTTTAGACCACTACACTAGCAACATCACTCCTATTCTTTTACAGAGTTTGTCAAGGAGGAATGAATAAGACGTAACTACTTACAAAGCAGGTCAGAAGACACAGCCAATCCCATGTCTTAGTAAGGGAAGTATATCCATTCATCCATTCACTCATTCACAAAACCCAGGGATATAAGGGGCCTAAAGCAGTAAAGACACTGAGTTTTTTTTTCTCAATTCTTTCTCCAGTAAGTGACCTGTTGCTACCGGAAAGGGCAGGAATGGGGAGGAGGATGGGAAAGCCCTGTAATTACTCTCCACCCGTGGACGATGGGGTAGGATTAGCTACTGGCTATACTCCCCTCTAGCTAAGAGCCCCCCAGCCCACACCAGTGGAGGTGTGGTGTGACCACTGCAGCTGGTCTACAGAACCAGCAGATATCCTATTAAGGCAGAAAACACTACAGAAAATGATAAATCCATATAAATCCACGAAACTAGTGCAAAAGGAGCACTGAGTTGTTCAACTGTTGATCCCTCAAATGTTACTGTATGAGGACTGTTAGACAAAAAAGGAACCAAGATGGATATTCTACATGCAAACCCAGCTGTTTAAATTGATTCAGTGCCTGTACAGGGCTATTCCCTTTATCTGGAATGTTCTCTACTATTCCCTCTCTCCTCATCCGTTTTTAATAAACTCCTACTTAGGTAGTTCTAGCTACTATATCCCTACATTGCTGAGTTCGTGCCTGTTTTTTTCTTTTTAATTTTTTTAATGTTTATTTTTGAGAGAAAGAGTGCATGTACATGTGTGCACCTGCGGGGCGAGGGGCATAGAGAGAGGGAGACCGAGAATCCAAAGCAGGCTCTGCACCATCAGCACTGAGCCCGATGCGAGACTCAGACTCACAAACCATGAGATCATGACCTGAGCCAAAGTCAGACGCTCAACCAACTGAGCCACACAAGTGCCCCTCATGCCTTTTTTTTTTCTTTTTTTTTTAAAGCACTAACTTTCTTGCAGTGTAGCTCTTAGCTTATCAGCCTGTCTCCTTGACTAGGCAACGTTCCTTGACAGAATGCATTAAGTTTATTGTTCTATGGCTTTTGTTCAGTAGTGATTCCATCCAGAGTTGTAAATACATAATTTAAAATAAATATGCCATCATAAGTTATCAATACTGTTCAAATACCTGGTCAAGTGGTTCTAAATCCTAACTCTGCATCAGAATCAACTAGAAAACAGTACAGACGCCAGAGCCTCTCCCCAATCTCAACACATCAAAATCTCTGGAAGGCACAGACTAACATTTCTAACTTTTTAAATAGCTACAGACATTTCCATTGAGAACCAAGTGACCTAACCTTTTAGTTCAGCCCAAGTGTTCACAAAACTGGTCCTCCTAGACTTTGCTGTTTCTGTGAATAAACTCACCCTTCTCCAAACCAGCAAAGACAAAAGTTACCAGGTTACATTTGATTTCTTCACCCTCATTCCCTGCATCCAGTTAGTTGCTTCTTTCAGGCCATTCCGGGTCCAGATTCTCTTATATTTGTCCTTTCCATCCCTCCCTCCCTACCCAACCAATATGTAGTTCATGAACTACTTACTGTTATAATAGTTACTGAACTACTTGCTTCTTTAATCTCTCCCCCTTTAAACCATTCACACAACAGCGCCAGATTAATCTTCTGTAACAGAGTTTTGATTACGCAGCCTCCCTTGCTCAAATGCCTTCAGTGGCAACCTGTGACTTTTTTGGTAGTTCTCTGAATGGTCCTTCTTCAGGCTCCTTATGGGGGCACTCGCTGCTCCCCCTCTCTCTGGTCTGCCTATCCTCCCTCGTATCCTCTAAGGCTCCTAACTGTAAAACTTCCCCGCTCTTGTGGTCCATCTCAGTGTTTTCCCTGTTTGCCCATCGGTCTTGCTCACAGAACAGTAGGCTCCCTGTCAGCCTATCTGTACATCCAAAGGCTGGCGCTCTAGGGCACAAGAGATTCAATGGATGAGAAAACGCGGTCTTATAAATACATCAGAGTGGTGATTCTTCAGTCCCCAGTCTGCTAACTCTGCTGCAGGATAAAATTAAATTAAAAACAACAAAAGCCCTTGATATTCTGACTTTCCCTACTGTGGTAGGCAGCTTCCAAAAACGGCTCTCACTGACCCTTGACCCTGATAATTCACGTCCTTGTGTAATTCCCTCTTGCTAAGTGTGGGCTGGACCTAGTGACCCGTTTCTAACAGACAGAACACAGTAAAAGTGATGGAATGGCACATCTGTGGTTGGATTATAAGGCTAGGACTTCTGTCTTGCTAGTACTCTCTTGCTGACAGTCTCCCTTGTCCTCTCACCGATAAAGCCAGCCGCCATGTTGCGAGATGCCCTACAGAGGTCCACGTGGCAAGGGAATGAGGGAGCCCTCCAGCCAACCTCTTGTGAGGAACTGAGGCCTCAGTGTGACAATTCACAAGAACTAAGTCCTGTCAACACCCGGGAGGAGCTAAAAAGCAGATCTTCCCCAGTGGAGCCCTGAGATGACTGCGTCTTTAGGACAAAGCCAGAGGTCCCAGCTAAGCCAGACTTGGATTCCTGACTTACAGGAACCATGAGATGATACTGTCACTAGCTACTAAGTTGAGGATTAAATTGTTACACAGCGATAACCAATACACCTACCAAAGAAGAATTATTTTTAAAATTTAAGGAAAGAAGACTTTTTGTTGAGGCTGTATTTAATGTTTTGAAGATTCTTACAACTGATAAGATGGGCATTTACTGCAGCTATCAACAAAACTCAGTGCAATGACTGGATGACCAGGAAGGTGGCTACAACACAGACAGCAGCCAGGTCACACTCCATAGCAAATTCAGTAACGGATGTAACAGCAACAGAATGATTATATAAGCCAGCGATAGCACTTCTTTTCCTAGCTATGAGGAATTAGCTTGTTGTTCACCAACTTTCTCACTGAGAGCTACTAGAAAAGATGTAACAACCACCACAAAAAAGAACACAAGGGGCACCTGGGTGGCTCAGTCAACTGAGTGAGCGTCTGACTTTGGCTCAGGTCATGACCTCATGATTCATGAGTTGGAGCCCCACATCGGGCTCACTGCTGTCAGCGTGGAGCACGCTTCGGGTCCTCTGTCCCCACCCTCCCTCCCTCCACCTCTCCCCAACTCATGTGTGCGCACTCTCTCTCTCAAAAATAAAGAAACGTTAAAAAATAAAATAAAATAAACGCACACATCTACACTCAAAACCCAAATCTGTCCAGAGGCACCAGAGAGCTTTTAAAAAGACGGCCAGCACCCCCACAAGGCATTTGCTGACTGCCCAGCTGAACAGATAGAGAAGCTGGAAAGCTCAATAGAAAGCAATGACAGAGAAGTAAAGAGGCAGACATCGGCAGTCTCACATAGAGGGGCATAAAATACAGACTGTGGCTACAAAGGTATCCAGGACTTGTGACAAGATCTTAGAGAGAAGGGAGGCACAGAAGTAAGCCAACATTCTGTGCAGTTTTCCCCACTGACACGTTTGCTGATTAGTAAGTCAGGCTTGGTTGAGAAACTGAGCATATACCTAAGACACTGAGAAGTTAAGCAGAACTTCTGACAGGCTCCAGACAGTAGGGAGTTTGGGACCCACAAAAGAAGGGCCCTCAGAAACACCCCAAGTTCTCACTTGGGACCTATGATGAGCTATGTGTGAGGAGTAACAGTTAATGAGGAATAGACTAAGCCTTGCAAAGATGAGAATCCAGCCTTCAAACAGTCTAATCCTCGATTTAAAAATTAAGGTACTCTGCCTCTTATTATCATGACTGCCAGGGGTTCAAGTAAATCCTCTTTGGAGTAAAATAATATTATCCAGAGCCTTTATAGCTTTTCCTACACAGTATCAAAAACAACAACACATATTGGAGAAGCATCAAGAGGAAAAAAACTGGTATCTAGAGGGCTCAGTCAGTGAAGCATCCCACTCTCGATTTCAGCTCTGGTCATGGTCTCACAGTTTGTGAGATGGAGTCCTGTATTGCACAGAGCCCACTTGGGAGGATTCTCTGTCTCCCTCTCTCTCTGCCCTCCCCTGCTGGCACGCTCTCTCTCAAAATAAATAAATAAACCTTAAAAAAAAAAAAAAAGGGGGGGGAATAAACAGATCTAGAGGGGCTCAAGAAATTAGACTGAGCAGACGTGAACTTCAAAGTTACTGAAAGTGAGGAACACCTGGCTGAAACAGTCGGTGAGGCATGCAACACCTGATCATGGGGTTGTGTTAGAGCCCCACATTGGGCGTAAGAGACTACTTAAAAAAAAATAATAGGGGCGCCTGGGTGGCGCCAATCGGTCCGCGTCGACTAGCCAGGTCGCCAGATCTGCTTGATCCGTGATTCGAGCCCGCATCAGGCTCTGGAGGCTGATGGCTCAGAGACCCTGGAGCCTACTAGTGTCTCCCTCTCTCTGCCCCTCCCCCGTTCATGCTCTGTCTCCCTCTGTCCCAAAAATAAATAAAAAAAAAAAGTTGAAAAAAATAATAAAGAAATAAAGTTACTGAAAGTAATAGGTTCAAGAAAAGCTATGGTAAAATGGAGAATTTCACCAGACCAGTCTAAGCTATTACAATAAAAATTAAAATTAAAAAAAAAAAGAGGTGGCCCCATATCTGGGGCCCACGTGGGAGATGAAGAAGAAGGAAGGAAGGAAGGAAGGAAGGAAGGAAGGAAGGAAGGAAGGAAGTAGGAAGGAAGGAAGGAAGGAAGGAAGGAAGGAAATAAATGGAAATCCTAGAGGTAAAGTTTAGTAAACAAAATTAACTCAATTACACAGAGCTGATGAATTTGTGTGCGAGGAGGATGAAAAGAAAAAAAGGAGAGAGAAAAAAAGTGTAAAATATATATGGAACCTTGTGAAAGTTTCACACATATGTGTAAATAAGAAGCAAGAAGAGAATAAAAAAGAGGATGCAGAAGTAGCACTCGTTGAAAAGATAACGGCCAAAAATTTTTCCCAAACTGACAGAAGGTATCAAGTCACAGATTAAAGGTCTGCACACCTGGGCACATTACGGTAAGACTACTGAAAACCAAAGACTCAGAAAAAAATACCAAGGACAACGACAGAAAAGACCCATATTATCCACAAGAGAGCAATGAGCCTGACACGGACTCAACAGAAACTACAGAAGTAAGAAGACCATGAAATCAGTCTTTAAAACACTAACTTATGAAGAACTAACCTATATTTCCATATCCAGTAAAAAGATCCTCTTAAAATGAAGGCAAAGTAAAGATGTTTTCAAACAATAGCTCACATCATTCACTGCTAACAACTCTGTGTTAAGGGGATTTCCTAATCCCCTCCTAAGGGGAATTTTTTAGGCAAGAGGAAAGTGACCTCAGAGAGGAACACAGATAAGGAATGAAGAGCGATGGAAAAGGTAACCATTAAGGTAAAAATAAATGAGTACTGGACTCCACAAAATAATAAGAACAGTTATGCTGCATAATTATGGGTGTGCTGTATAATATCAGGGCTTAAGAACATAAAGAGTTGGAGCTCCTGGGTGGCTCAGTCGGTTGAGCATCTGACACTTGATTTTGGCTCAGGCCATGATCCCACAGTCACAGGATCGAGCCCCCACGTCGGGCTCTGTGCTCAGCCTGGAGCCTGTTTAAGATTCTCTCTTTCTCTCCCTCTGCCCCTCTTCCCCACTTCTTCTCTAAAATTAAAAAAAAAAAAAAAAAAGAACACAAAGAGTTAAAATGTATGACAATAACAACACAAAATCAATCAGAAAGGGAATAAATGGAGTTTATGTGTGCTAAGGTTCTTGTATTGTTTGGGAAGTGATAAAAATACTAGTTAGTTGATTTCAAGGGTAACCATTAAAAGAATAGTAAAATAACATAAAAACCAATAAGAAAGAGGGAAATGATGAAACAAAAAATAAATAACCCGGAAGAGGACATAAGGAGAAGAAAAAGGAACAAAAAACAGGTAGGACACAAATAGGAAACAAGTAATTAAGATGAAAGATTTAAATCCAAATATATTAGTTATTACATTAATGTAAATAAATTAAAATTCCAATTAAAAGACAAATTGACAGACTGATTAAAAAAAAAAAAATGAATATATGCTGCTTAAAAGAGATTCACCTTAATTACAAGGACCCAGAAAGACTGAAAGAAAATGGAAAGATACCACACAACAATCCACCTCCCTCCTACCCACCAGGCCAAAAAGCAATTATTGTTAAAATAATAGAGGTACTGCTGATTTTAAAGCAAAAATGTCACTAGAGATAAAGAACATATTATAATGATAAAAAAGTCAATCTAAAGAAAGACATAACAGTTCTAAATCTGTATGAATTTAGTAATACTGTGCCAAAATATAGAAAAGCAATAATTAACAAAGCTGAGACAACAAAGCTACATAGTGGAGATTTAACATACCATTCTCAGTAAATGACAGAACAAGCGAACAAACAAAAAACTCAGCAATTCCATAACAGATTGAACAATATGAATAGCCAAATTTTACCTGACATATATAGATCACATCCAAGTAATTATGTACTGTACTTCCTTTTTTTTTTTAATGTTGTAACGTTTATTTATTTTTGAGAGAGACAGAAAAGTGTGTGTGCAAGCAGGAGAGGTGCAGAGAGTGGGGGACAGAGGATGTGAAGTGGGCTCCCGCAGTGAGCCTGATACAGAGTTCAAACTCATGAACCATGAGATCACGACTGAGTCGAAGTTGGACGCTTAACCGACTGAGCCACCCCAGGTGCCCCGATGTACTTTCTTTTAAAGGACACATGGACATCACCATTTACTAACACTGACCATCTGCCAAGCCACAAAGCAAGTCTCTAATTTCAAAGGGTTAAAATTATACACAGCATAGGGGTGCCTGGGTGGCTCAGTTGACTGAGGCTCTTGATTTTGGCTCAGATCATGATCTCAGGATTTGTGAGATCGACCCCACATTGGGCTCCATGCTGAGCGTGGAGCCTGCTTGGAGTTCTCTCTCTTCCTCTCCTTCTGTGCTGCTCGTGCATACACACACACTCTCTTTCTCTCTCTAAAAATAAATAAATAAACATTAAAAAAAATTATACACAGTATGCCTGGAAACAGTAAAAACAAAAGTTCCAAAATGTTTGGAAATTAAGTACTATAACTTCTAAATGGACCACAGGACAAGGGGATATCACAACAAATAATTTGAAAATACTACGAATTGCACGGACAAAGTACATGATAAATCAAGTGCAGAATACAATTGTTTAGAGAAAAATTTACTGCTCTAAATGCATATATTAAAACAGGTAGTAATGCTATCCATATTTCTCATATTCTTTATTTCCTTCAAACACTATGGTACAATGTAACATATTTGCTTGTCTTTGAACAACTCAAGATTTCAAAAGGTTAAAAGGAAAAATGTTATCTGGACTTAAGGGCAGAAGAAACAGAAAAGGAAAGCATCAGACCAACAACATTATTTTTCTCTTTACTTTTTATATCTGTGATAAGCACTCCTCCAAGATTTTGCCTCTTACTTGTAAATCTCCACTTATGAACTTCCTGCACATCCTTACATGGATATCAACCTACCAGAAATGCAGCTCCATTCAATGCCCACCTCACGAAAAAGAAATGTGAATATGCCAAGAATAACCAATACAAAGTAGGATTTGAATTTTAAACACATTAGTATTACTATATACTCCAATAATGACATATATTATTAATTTAAAATGGAAATACGTCAAAGAACTGTGTTTCACAAATCTAATATTACTAAAAGCAGAGCAATTATGGAAATAATTTAGTAGTACTCACCTATCCAAGTCTGACAGCTTATTCGGGTTACACCACTATTGACAGGCAAGTCATTTACATATACCTGTCCACTCTCGTAGGTTATGTTAAGAATAACCTTAAAATAAAGCAGCATATACATTAATTCCAATTGTTTATAAATGATGACAAAATCTTCATGTAAAAAATACATGATCTAACTGAACTAGATGTGTAGGCAAAAAATAACATAGGCTGCCTAATACTTAGCTAAGTGACATATTAAAATCATAATCAAAAGGAGACAAACCTGTTCTGTAGATACAGCCCCATCATCTTTCAGGGTAGTTACATTAATTCTGAGGCTGTCCTGCAAAATATATATATATAAATTGGATAGGTGAAATTGCACTTCACAGAATGGGAATAACTCAGTTCTTTTTCTTTTCCCTTCAATTATATTTATTGTATAATCACTTATAACATCGACATTTTGTAAAACCCAGCATTTTTCACAGGACTTTTTGTGCCCTTATTCACAATTCCAACTTTTCATAATCTGTATTTATTCCACTCAACTATGAAATATATCACATTTAACAGCCTATAACATGCAAATGTAAAGTTTAAAAGAAAAGATTAACACTCAAATCCCTACTACCTAGGTTAAAAACTAGAATACTGTCCACACCTTAGAAGTCACCCCCTTTCTATCACGTTCCCTTATCCTCAGAAGGAATCCCTGGGTTGTCTTCCATATTAATCTCTTTTTTTTTTTAGAGAGAGAGAATGAGAGGGAGAGCGAGCTCACGAGAGGTGGGGGAGGAGGGCAGAGGGAGACAGAATCTCCGCGCTGAACATGGAGCCTGACATAGGGCTCCATGACCTGAGCAGAAATCAAGAGTACTGACTGAGCCACCCAGGTGCCTCTTTTGCTTTTCTTTATAGTTTTACTCTCTCTCTCTCTCTCTCTCTCTCTCTCTCTCAACAACATATTGTTTAGTTTCACCTGTTTCTGAGCTTTATGTAAGTGGAACAATTTTATATGTATTCTTCTGGAACTTCTCTTATTTACAACTGTTGATGCATGCAGCTGTGGACATTTATTTACAGTACTGCATAAAAAGCCCATCAAATGATTACCAATTTACTTATTTGTTCTACTATCAATGGACATTTGAATTGTTTCCAACTTTTTTATTTGCATAAACAAAACTGCTCTAACTCTTCTTAAATGTGTCCCCTAGTGCCCATGGACAAGTATGTACTGTGCAAAATCAGTTTTAGTACCTCTCAAGGCATGCTCAAAAGCAGTTATTCAAGTATTTGCTTCTTTACTTTCATTTTTTTAATATTTTAATTTTTTATGTTTTTACTTATTTCTGAGAGAGAGAGAGTGCAAGCAGGCGAGGGGCAGAGAGAGAGGGAAACACAGAATCCAGGCCCCTCTGTCAGCACAGAGCCCAACATGGGGCTCGAACTCACGAACTGTGACATCATGACCTGAGTCTAAGTCAGACGCTTAACTCACTGAGCCACCCAGGTGCCCCAAGTTTATTTATTTTTTAAAGTTTATTTGTTTTGAGACAGAGAGAGAGAGAGAGAGAGAGAGAGAGAGAGAGAGAGAGAACGAGCAGAGAGAGAGGGAGAGAGAATCCCAAGCAGGCTCTGCATCATCAGCGAAGAGCCTGATATGGGGCTTGAACTCACTAACTGCAAGATCATGACCTGAGCCGAAATCGAAAGTCAGATGCTCAACTGACTGAGCCACCCAGGTGCCCCAAATATTTAAGTTTATTAATGACATGCTTTCTATAGAGAAGAAAGCAGTATTTTAAGAAATATTCACCAATACTCAAAGGAATTGCAATTTGTCATTTGTAAAACAAATCCTTCCCCTAATTTTTTTCACAGATAGATGCTGTTATTCTAGAATAAAAAATATTTTTCATGGGGGTATTCTTAACTTTGAAAATTGTTCATAAACAAAATAATATACAAGTGAATCTCTTGGCACTGTGACTGCTTCCAATACTTTATATATCTCCAACAAATGAGAGAATAAAACTGAAATGATTATATGAGGTTGAGGTGATTCTACTCAAAGAACAGGGTTCTAACATGTAAAGCCTATACCGTACATTTAGGCTCACTCTGGTATACCTGCCAACTTATATTGGGGCATATGAAACTTCAGAACCAGCCTGGCTTTCTCCTGGCCCACCCTTATCTAGAACTAAGCATGAGCTAGAACCAATACATTCATCTTTAGAACAAACCAACACTCAGTAAGTCATCAAACTGGTGGTATATTGTTTGGCGTCCTAATTCCAGCCAAGAATTCTTTTCAAAATAGAGGATCCGTTGATTATGGACTATTGTTTCTTCTAACAGCCCAGAGAAAACCCTCCAATGATGGTATTCTAAGAAACCTTTTTATAGCTTCTGCCTTTCAGCAGTGAACATACAGTGTATTACTAGTAATTTACTGCACTTACATATATCACCTGCCTAGTAAAATCTGGGGTTTGTAAAAGACAACTAACAGATACTATCATGCTGTATGTTGCAGAGAACCAAAGGCAATTAAGCTTTTTGGTCTTCCTGAATGATCTCATTTCAGAAGAGATTCTAATCCCTTACTACCTCCTGGGCCCAAGTTTAGAGATAGGTCATATTTCTTGCTCTTCCTGAGAGCCTCTAACTGAACTGGAAGTTCAAGCTTGTGAGTCAAGGTGGTGGATGCTTAAAAAGTGGGTGGCAGAACTGAAGTTTCTACCCACCCATTTTCAATTCTTCCTCTAATTCCTTCACTCACAAGATGCCCAGCTGGTACACAATGGCATCCTAAGGACATCCTAAGGCTTAAAATAAATGAATTAACTCTGAGGGAAATACATGAAATAAATATTTACACATATAAGAAAATAAGTGCAGGGGCGCCTGGGTGGCTCAGGCAGTTGGGCGTCCAACTTTGGCTCAGCTCAGGTCATGATCTCACAGTTCATGAGTTTGAGCCCTGTGTCGGCTCTGACGCTAACAGCTTGGAGCCTGGAGCCTGCTTCGGATTCTGTCTTCCTCTCTCTCCGCCCCTTCCCCGCTCACACTTTGTCTCTGTCTCAAAAATAAACGTTAAAAAAAAAATTTTTTTTTTAAAAAGTGTCCTCTGGATGCCTCTCTTTGGTGACTAAGTTATTTTAATATTAGAAGAACGTACTATAAAAATTTGTATTATTTTACAACCTGGGTAGCCTCAACTTCCAACAACTCATATGTAAACAAAACAGAACATGCTTATAATCCGGTAGATCTGAGCCACTGAAGGGCTATAGAGAGAATTTTCCTCACTTCAATCAGTTTTCTTACATTCAGATCAGGTTGGCTACAAAAATGAATAGATGAGTAGATATGTCATAAAGCAAATCGAGGGAGGCCTGGGTGGCTCAGTAGGTTAAGCACAGAACTCTTGATTTCAGCTCAGGTCATGATCTCACAGTTTGTGGGACTGAGACCCGCGACGGGCAGTGCCCTAACAGGGCATATCCCGCTTGGGATTGTCTCCCTCTCTCTCTGCCTCTCCTCCGCACGCACGTGCTCTTTCTCTTGCAAAATAAACAAACATTAAAAAAAATAATAAAGTATAGTGAAACATTAATAGCAGTCTAAGTTTGCACTATTCAATATGGTACCCACTAACCACATGTGGCTATTTACATTTAAATTAACTAAAAGTTTTAAAACTCCGTTCCTCAATCATCCTGGTTAGCCACATTTCAAACGCTCATTGACAGTAGTCTTGTGACTACTGTAATGCAGAGAGCAGAGAAACCCCATCACTATACAGTGGTCTACGGGACTGCATTTATCTAACGTGGTGACCACTGTAAAATTCTTTCAAATGTTCTGTGCATTTGAAAATTTTCACAATGCAATGTTGAAGAAGTTAGATCAAGAGGCTTCAGCTTCCCATATAAACATTTCCAAGGAATGAGATTCCTCCTGTCGCTGCTCAGCATTCTTTCATCTGTGACATTCTGAGTATAGATCTGGACTTTCCAAAAGTGGAAGGCGGGCATAAAAAGGAAGAACTGAAATGATGAATTCACTAAGCCCACAGTGCAGTGTGCTTTCAGCTCGCAGTCAAAATGCATTTTTCTCGAACTATAGGGCCTTAAATGTCTTTTGGGTTTACAAGTGATTATGATGAGTCTTTAAAATTTGGAAAATAATGTATTACTGGAACTTCAGGCATCATTTCATTTGTACTTGGTCTCTTGGTGCTTGCCAATCACATTCACATTTTGACCAGTTGCAACTGTGGTCCACATACAATTTCTTTTTTTTTTTTTTTTAATTTTTTATTTAAAAGTTTTTTTTTTCAACGTTTATTTATTTTTGGGACAGAGAGAGACAGAGCATGAACGGGAGAGGGGCAGAGAGAGAGGGAGACTCAGAATCGGAAACAGGCTCCAGGCTCTGAGCCATCAGCCCAGAGCCTGACGCGGGGCTCGAACTCACGGACCGCGAGATCGTGACCTGGCTGAAGTCGGACGCTTAACCGACTGCACCACCCAGGCGCCCCGGTCCACATACAATTTCAAATACAAGTGGTTCTTAGGGCTTGCATTGTTGTGGCTTCTTGAAAGGCCCCAGCAGAACTGAAACTGAGATATGCTCTTTATTTTTGTTCCCAGGGAGAGTAATGTCATTAAAAAAATTTTTTTTAAAAGTGACATTTATGGTGTAAGTCACCCGTGGATGCGGAGTATTCAAGTCCCGACCAGTAAGAAAAGGCATACCTATATTCTTTCTTTTCATTTTGGGAAAACTCGCATTTCAAAATCTTCAAACTTTTCCCAACCATACATGCAATCGATGAATGGCAAATACTGGTTTAATTCAGCAGGACTCCCCGGCAAAAACGGAAGAACCAGCCACCCTCTAGTACAAGGATGCAGCGGTTCTCCAACTTTTAGCTGGCCTCAGGTTCACCTGGAGGGCTTGCTGACTTAAACTGTTGGGCCTCACTCCCAGAGCATCGGATTAGTGCGTTTCCAGCAGTTTCCCAGGGGATGCTGGTGCGGCCAGTCCTGCCACGCTCAAAGATCCACTCCTCCTAACACCCACCAAAGGGACGACGTCAGGTTAAGAGTCGGGTCTTCAGCCCTTCTCCTCCCGCCCCGTCGACCCGGCGTAGGCGCACCCCGGGGCCCTGCCCGCCGGGGGAAGGCAGTCCTTCCCGCCGGGGCAGACAGGTGGCCTGGAATCGTTCCTGTTCCCTCACCGCGCCACTTCTACATTTCCCGTGCACATAAGGCAGAAACACCGCCTTGCCCCAGTGCCCGCTCTACCCCAGGAAGGCGCCATTACAAAAGGCTGAGAGCACTTGTGATCGGGTACTTTCGATGGCAAAACCCCCTCAGGCTGGCAACAGTTGGGCTGTTGTAAGAATCCCTAAGTTTCGCTGCACAAGGCTTAACCACACATTAAAGGGCCCTCTTCGCTCTCTCGCTTCCTCCCAGGCCGCCCCCATTTCCTTGGGGGCTTCTTCCCACTACTCTCTTGGGCGCCCGGACCCCAGCCCCTGGCCCGTCGGGCGGTCTTAAGAGGCATCGACGAGGACGCCGCAATCCCACGGCTCTGGCCCGCGCCTCGCCAGAGGGTCCGGGCGGAGGAGCTGCCGAGTCGCGCCCGCCCTGCCCTACCTTCGGGGCTCGGGGCGGCAGGGGCAGCTCATGGGTAACGGTCATCAGCCACCCGGCGGCCGGCAGCGCCGCGAGCAGGAGCAGCCGGAGGGCAAACGGCGCGGGTGGAGAGCCCTCCATCTTGGACAGGCCAGCTGCGGTGGACAGCCGGGAGCTGAGCGCCGAGCCAGCCCGAAGGGCGGGGACGGGGCGAGGCTATTGGGGGGGGGCGGGACTCTGAGAGGCGGGGCGGGAGCGAGCCGGTCCGTGGAAGGAACCCGCGGCACCGGTGGGCGGGGACTCTGGAAAAAACGGGCTGCGCACGCGCACCGCCACGAAACGTCGAGGGGCGGAGTCAAGCGGGGGAAGGTCCGATTTCGTCATTAGAGTGGAGGTGTGGGTTGGAGGGAGCTACTAATCCAAACGGAGTGAAAAGATATTCGATGCTATTATTTTAAAATTAGTATATTCTAGCAAGAATAGTATATATGGGTATGCTCATAACTATACCTGTGTGTATGTGTTTACATATATAAAATAAAAATAATGGTAATATAGGTGAAGACTGTTCTACATTAAAAACAGTATGTCACGTTTAGAGGGGAAATTTTATTAAATCGGTAGTTCTCACCCTTGGCTGCACATGGGAATTGCCCGGAAAGTTTTAAAAATTACTGACTCTGGGGTCTTCCGGTGCACCCGAGTTTCTGATTTCGTTAGGGCTGCTGCTCAGGCATTGGTAGTTAGGTTCCCCAAGTGATTTATTGTGACAGGGTTGAGGATCAACCACACATCAAATGTTCAACATTCATCATATCACTTTAGACCTCATGGGAACAACATTCTCAGCAGGAAACCAGTCTACCTGGGCTCTGGGGGCCTTTCTAGTCAGTTTCTTAATCTATAAAATAAAGATGATGTCTTCCCCCTTTCGTATTCTTAAAAAATATTTTATGAAACTCTCCAAAACAGAGAGTGCCACGAAGGTCGGCATTTCAGATTAATAGGTTTGAATATTGAGAAGAACTTGGAGATATTACCATTCAAGGCAGAATAAGAAACATTTAGCCTTTTTTTTTTTTTTTTTTTTAAAGTAAAACGTTTGACTTGGAAAGAACCCAAGCCTCTTTCTCTCTTAGCCCTTCTTTTATCAAACCCTCTCCACATGCCTGCTTTTCTAGCTGGGGTAAATTTTAAAACCTTTGTGGTATACTACAAAGTCATTCAACTAACTCCTTGCCTACTATGAGATATGCAACAACATTAACTTGCAAGTGGTTTCTGCAATGAAGTCCCACCCACTCTTGGGGTCCAACTACAACCACTGGGTTTTTCACTCTATTTCACACTGCCTGGATTAAAAAGGAATCTGAAGGTTAGAACACATGACATGTAGATTTGCATAACTTTAATTGGTAACATATGTATAAGATTCTAAAGTACCTTTATATGAAAAAGTAGATAGGGAAGATGAAGTAGTCTGTGTTTTCCAACAGAGCTCTCCCGCATAGTCTTACCATCCATTATTCTTCCAATTGTTTGTCTCCATAGCTAGTTCTGAGCTCCAGGAAGGCTTTGACCAAAACACAGTAAAAAAGCCTGCTAGTTTAGGGGTTTGTTGGAGGTTTTGGCACACAGCAATAAGTAATTCTCTGCCACACCACCTAAGTGTCCTACAATTTAATTTGATTCTGACACCATCTACTTAGAGATGGCATCAGATCCCACAGGATAAGGGCTCAGTCCCATGAGACAGCCCACACCTACCTTCACCCACACATACTTCAGATGCCAGTTGCAAGCCCAGGTTATTGCCTGTGCTTCTGACCAATTGGCTACAGAGCAGAGGTTCCAATGACTCCCTCCATGGACTAGATTAATTTGCTGGAGCAGAACTCAGGGAAACACTTACGTTTATCAGTTTATTAAAGGATACAATAGAACGTACAGATGAACAGCCAGAGGGAAAGAGATGCATAGGATAAGGTATGTGGGAAGGGGCAGAGCTCCCATGCCTTCTCCAAGCATGCCATACTCCTAGCACCTCCCCCTGTTCAGCAGCCTTGAAGCTCTCCAAACCCTGTACTTATAAGATTTTAATAGAGGCATCATCAATCATTAACTCCATTTTCAGCCCTTGTGCCATCTGAAGAAAATCAGGGGAAGGGCTGAAAATTCTAAGTGTCTAGTTACATCGTGGTCTTTCTGGTGACCAGCCCTCAACCAGGAGCCAGCCAGAAGCCCACTAAGAGCTTTTTTTTTTTTTTTTTTTTTTTTAAATTTATTTTTGGGACAGAGAGAGACAGAGCATGAACGGGGGAGGGGCAGAGAGGGAGACACAGAATTGTGAAACAGGCTCCAGGCTCCTGGAGCCATCAGCCTTGAATGCTGGGCTCAAACCCATCGACCATGGTGATCGTGACCTGGCTGAAGTCGGAGGCTTAACCGACTGCGCCACCCAGGCGCCCCTAAGAGTTACTTCTTTAGAACAAAAGACTCCAATCACCCAGGACATCACAATGGCTTCAGAAGCTCTGTGTCAGTAACAGAGTCAAAGACCGATATTAGAGGTGCCTGGCTGGCTTAGTTGGAAGAGCATGTGACTCCTAATCTTGGGGTCATGAATTCAAGACCCACATTGGGCCTAGATCTTACTTAAAAAAGAAAAAAAAAAACAATATTAGAACAAGAGATGTTCCTAGTATTCTTTTTTTTTTTAAACGTTTATTCATTTTTTGAGAGACAGTGTGAGTGGGGGGAAGGACAGAGAGAGAGACGGAGACACAATCCAAAGTAGGCTCCAGGCTCCAAGCTGTCAGCACAGAGCCCGATGTAGGGCTCAAACTGACGAACCGTGAAATCATGACCTGAGCCAAAGTTGGATGCTTAACCAACTGAGCCACCCAGGTGCCCCTCCTAGTAGTCGTATCACTTAGGAAATTACATGGTTTTGGAGAGCTCCATGCCAGGAACTGGGGGCAGAGACCAATATGCATTTTCTATTAATGCACAGCATGCCTTTTATATGCAAAACAATCAATCCAGAGTCCATATTCTGAATCCCCTCCTTTATCAGGCTCTTAAGGTTCAGGAGGCAATATTCCTCTGTCCTAATCATCCCAGAGCCAGGTACTGGACAATTAGATATAGCCTATATACCCCAGAGCCCACTGAAATTATTCAAACTAGCCAACAAAGCCTGTTTATCCTACCTTTTCTTACTTTCCCCATAGAGACCACAATAAGAACTCTTGCCTATGGTTTCCTCTTGGCTCCTTCCGCCTCCTGACCAACCCTGGTACTTTCTATTTGGCCCTGCATGGCATGGTGTGCTACTGCCTGTCTTGGGAACTGTGAGTAACAAACCACTTTTTTTTCTTTTGTGTTTATTTATTTATTCTGAGAGAGAGAGCGAGAGAGAGAGCAGTGGAAGAGCAGAGAGAGAGGGAGAGAAGAATCCCAAGCAGGCTCCTCACTGTCAGCACGGAGCTGAATGGGGGCTGGATATCACAAACTGCAAGCTCAGACCTGAGCTGAAACTGAGTCAGATGGAGCCACCCTGTGCCCCCAAAACTATTTTTTCAATGGCATTCATCTCCTGACCTGTTGGCTTCACCATACATGAATAATACTAAAACTTACATTTTATTTTTTTAAAAGTCTTTTTTTTTTAAGTTTACTTCTTTATTTTGAGAGAAAGAAAGAGAGAGAGAGAGAGCGAGCAGGGAATGGGCAGAGAGAGAGGGAGAGAGAAAATCCCAAGCAGGCTCCATGCTGTCAGCACAGAGCCTAACCCAGAGCTCAGTCTCACGAACTGTGAGATCATGACCTGAGCCGAAACTAAGAGTTGGATGCTTAACCAACTGAGCCACCCAGGTGCCCCCAAACCTACATTTTAAAACACCATACTAATATCGACTGAAAAGGTCAATGCTACAATAATCACAACAAAGAAAAGGCAGTTAAAGTTCTTGACAAAGATAGGTAGATGAAAAATCAGGCTTTTCAGCCAGCCAAAATTGTTCTGTAGCCCCTGGACTGCCACTGTCCCAGATATCTTACTGTAAATGTTATGACAAAAGTCACTAGGATGAATCTCAGTTCACCAAACTGAAATTTCTTAGGGTGTGAGGGGGAAAAGCAGGAAAAGGAACAAAAGTTGAATAAAGGAAATCATGATGGACTTGTCAAACACGTGAATACTCTACAACAAATATGATCATAAATAGTCCATTGTGTGTGCATGTGTGCGTGTGTACGTGTATGTTTTAAGTAGGCTTTACACCCAGCATGGGGCCCAACATGGGGCTTCAACTCATGACCCTGAGATCAACACCTGAGCTGAGATCAAGAGTCAGATGTGCTGACAGCTCAGAGCCTGGAACCTGCTTCAGATTCCGTGTCTCCCTCTCTCTCTACCCCTCCCCTGCCTGTGCTTTGTCTATCCCTCAAAAATAAATAAACTTTAAAAAAAAAACAAACAGAGTCAGATGTTTAGCCAACCGAGGAACCCACGTACTCCATGCGTTTTTGTTGTTCATATATTTAGTCATTTAATATCAGGATTTTACTTTTGGCAATTTTAGTAAGGTTACAGACTTTTGAATGTGGTTGTTCAGATTAGGCATATGAAAAGATGTCAACAGAGAAATTAGTCACGATGGTTGGTGATATTGATATTTGGAAGGCAATACAAATTTATTAATCTTTTCTCTAAATTAAATCTACTTGAGTATTTATATTTGGTAGAACTGTGAATGATGTATCTCATTTCTTTTCACCTATGTATTTACTATATAAACCACTTAAATATTTATACCATTAGAAATTCCAAGTGTAATTAAGATGATGACAAGCATAAACTATATCATGTCATGAAATGGCATTTTTCCCACGAAGATAGAGTATTTGATATTTAATGATATGTCAGTATGTGTGTGTGTGTGTGTTCAGCACACCATAATTTAAAGATCTAGCAAATTACACACTGAGTAATAAATAAGGTATTCTATCTTGGGCATAAGATATACACACCTGGGCTTGGAGTCTGCAAAAGAGACTGGCAATATCATTTCTGGTCATTAGTGAATCACTTTATATATGAAATGATTCCTCATATTTATTATGCCAATTTCTAATTCTTTTTGTAATAGTCCAAATTTGTCATTAAAAATTACTTAATTTTTCCAAATCCTCTTTTTTCTTCATCTATAATATTTCTTTTAAGCATATACAAAATTCTATCAAATATTATCCTGTAATCTGTACTCTTACTATATTGGGAAAAGATCAGATGAGTTCAATGCAGTGTCCAAAACAGCTGTACTATTTTACATTCCCATCAACAATTTCATTGTTATTTTAATTTGCATTTCTTTAATTAATTGCCAATATTCATTAATTCACTCAGCTAATATTTATTCATCCATTAAGTGGCAAGCTGTCATAAGCACTAGGGATATAACAGTAAATAAGACAGGCAAAATTGGCTATAGCCTTCTAGAGCTTATATTTTATTATTATTGTTTTTAAATGTTTATTTTTCAAAAATTTTTTAACATTTATTTTTGAAGGAGAGAGACAGAGCGTGAGCGGGGGAGGGGCAGAGAGAGAGGGAGACACAGAATCCCAAGCAGGCTCCAGACTCTGAGCTGTCAGCACAGAGCCCGACACGGGGCTTGAACTCACGGACTGTGAGATCATGACCTGAGCTGAAGTCGGAAGCTCAACAGACTGAGCCACCCAGGTGCCCCTTAAATGTTTATTTTTGAGAGAGAGAGGGGGTGCAAGCAGGGGAGGGGCAGAGGCAGGGACAAAGAATTTGAACCAGGCTCTGGGCTGAGGGCAGAGAGCCGGATGCAGGGCTCCAACTCAGGAACCGTGAGATCATGACCTGGGCCGAAATCCAGAGTTGGACGCTTAATGGACTGAACCACCTAGGTGCCCCTAGAGCTTATATTTTAATAATATAAAAATATAAACAAATTCATAAATAGCATGTTAGATAGTAAAAAGTGCCATGGAGAAAAGCTGTCTGGAAAAAAACCAAACATGTATGTATACAGGGTTAATTTTAATTATGGTGGTCAGGGAAGGGTTCATTGAGATGGCCTATGAGCAAGAGACCTATAGTAGGTGAAGGAGATCCATGCAAGTATCTAGACAAGAGGGTTCTAATCTGAACGCGCAGCGAGCTCACAGGCCTGAGGCAGAAGAATGGCCAATAGTGTTCAAAGAATAGCAAGAGTCTTGTGTGGCTTCAGAATAAGAGAGAAGACAGGTAAGACCTGGCAGCAGAGTATCCGGTACGGCCTTGTAGACCGTTACAAAAACGTTGGCTTTTATTTAGATGTGAAGTAATTGGAAGCTAGTATGTATAAAATGGTAAAAAAAAAAAAAAAAAAAAAAAAAAAAAAAAAAGGGAGTGATCTGCTTGGACAGATTTCGGGGAATAAACTTTGCATGGAAACCCTGAACGGAGATCAAATGTAGTTTTGTTAAGTCTTCAAAATCAAAGACTATGGATAAAACCAGTAGAGAGGTGGGGCTGAAGCCTTTTAGCTTGTCGCACGAAGGACCAGCCACTATCTGTTGCCGTAACAGGGCCTCTGCCCCAGGCACGATTAGCCAGGGAAGAACTCCCTGTGAACCACCTTTCTGGGTGACAAATTGTGCATTTAACGCCTAAAGGTTTCGATTTAGGGAGACGAGAAGACACCGATTAGGAAACCCCGAGTAGTACCCGCAAGAACACAGGCGAAGCTGGCGCCATTGTCGCCCTCGAGGGGGCGAGGAGGAGAGAAGAAACGGCTGCTGGAAGGTCCGCCTCGTTCTTGAGATGGACACAAAAGAGGCACAATACCCTTTACAGACGTCCTTTCGAGCGACAGGCTTCCGTGCCAGTCGCCCGGGGCGAACAAGGATTTTCAAAAGGACCGCGCCAGAGGCGGGACCCATCAGCACACCACCACGCGGACACAGCCAACGCGCGGGCCGAGCCGCCCGCGAGGGGGGCGGAGTCGCCGGAAGAATGACGTAAAAAGGCGTCGCGCCGAGAGTGACGCGTGGCGTAGACCACTACGGGCTGCGCCTGTCACACCCGCGGCTTGTTGCGGAGGAGCAGCGGGCGCCATGGCGGTTCTGCTGGAGACCACTCTGGGCGACGTCGTCATCGATCTGTACACCGAGGAGCGGCCGCGCGGTGAGGCCCGGGCCCCGCTCGCGTTTCGCCGGGGCCGCGCTCTCCTTTCCCCACTGTCCCTTCGCTGCCCGGCCCCCTTGACCGGGTTCGAGCTTCTGGGCTCCTGGCGCCCACGACTGGGCTGTTTCACTAGCGGGCCGTGGTTGGAAAAGTTTCTGTGAGGAGCGGCCTCTCTCTCGAATGTGGTGCTGGCCAATTGGGTGGCGGGTGCTTGTGGCATTAAATGCCTGTGTGTGTGCGTGTGTGCGCGTGCAGGCTGCATATAACCAAGCCTGTAGGTTTTGTGGCTGTACTGCGCTTTACTTGCGAGAGGAACACAACCAGTATTCCTTGGGGTGTAACCAGGGAGTCCTGATGGAAGTACGAAGGATGTGTTTGGAGCAGTGAGTGTGGGCATCCAGCGTGGGTGGAGGAAGGGCTGTCCGGAGGTGTGCACGGAGTCGTAGCAAACGCTCATTGATCGCCTGCTGTGTAGACTGCCAAGCTCTGGGATAGGCGTCTTGTCCTTAAGGGTCTAACTTTCCCCCGAGAGAAATAGGCGTGGGAGCCCCTTTAAGTGTTGTTAAGTCTTACAAACCCATTGTAAGTGTTGTGGTTGAAGAATGTGTAAGTTGCCATGGAAACCGGAGGGAGGCGTGATTCTTCCTGGCTGGGGGCGGGGAGAAGTGAAGCCAGGAAAGAAAGTAGAACACTTGAACTAGCTCGTTGAAAGATGAGTGGGAGTGAGGGTGTTTTTTTTTTTTTTTTTTTTTTTTTTT